CTCTATCTCAAGCTGAGAAAAACCTAGCCAAGTTTTGATTATGGCAAACCTTAGCTTCCCTTGAAGCAAAGGAACCTGCCTTTAAAAAAAAAAATGTTTTACAGTCTTTCAGGTGGTGCTTTTCATATAGTATTGTTCTTACACTTTCAGATTCCAGGTGGCCATGAGAGAAAGTGGTAGCAGCTCCTCTCCATTGCATCTAGCATCTAGAATCCAAATGTGGTTTTCAAAGACCCCTATGAAGTCACCAAATCAGAGAGAAGATTGGGATCTACAAAAATCTCAGTTTACTCTTGACTCTACCACTTACAGACATGCTAGAACCTCTATCATGATTTATAGAAACAAATAGAACTTTAAGAGGAAGATTATATATTTCAAATTACTGGCAAATATTATAGTCAGTAAAACCATAAGAAAAGTCAGTATGCTGTCCAGGTAGATTATATATTATAAAGTGAAATAATAAAGCAAATTATAAAGTGAAAATTAGAAAAACTTCTCTCAAATTAGAAATATTTTTAAAACTCACCCTGACCATGACTGGAGAGATATATAATACAATTTGATACAAAGTCTGAACGTGAAAGGATAAAATGTCATCAGTCACTTGCAAACAAAAAAGGGAGAAAATGATACCAAATAAAGCAAAGAAGGGCCATTGTTATAATGATCAAAGTGAATATATAGCTTTTAAGAACTCTTCTGTGATAAATCTCATTGTTTCAAAATATACTGAATACAACTTAAAATGTTCCAATCAAAGAATGGCTAAATATCTTGTGCTATCTTTGTTTAGTGGCCTGATCTGTAGTGGTTAAGAAAGATGTTAATATTTCCTTGCTATAAGAAAAAGCCAACAGTGATATATTATTGATTGAAAAACCATATTGCAGATATGTATCTATGTTATTCTCCTCCTTCTGTTAAATAGAACCAAAATGATAATAAAGGTTATCTGTGGGTGATGGAGCTAGAGTCAATTCAAATATTTTCATCTGAATTTTTCATCTTTTCCTGTGGTTTTTATAAGATATTATATACTATTATGCCCAAATACCCACGGCCTCTCCCACTGAGAGGGCTAATTTCATGCCTTATTGACCTCAGGTGGCGGTGACATATTCTACATACAAGTAAAAGCTTTAAAAAACTGTCCCATGGTTCTGCCATGGCTCTTGTCCTTTGCTCTTGAGGGGTCTGCTCCATATGCCTGGGATAAAAAGGACCCTGAATAGGTCTGCAGCTGACCTAAAGGACAAGTAAATTGGCAGAAAATAAGCCTTTTTTGTAAGCCCCTGAGGTTTGGGACTTCTTTTATGATCACATCACAACTTAGCCCAGGCTTCAGAGTCCACAGTTTCAAATGGTTTTTTTTTGGACACATATAAGTTGTGAGGCCTATGAACAACAAGTTCCAGAAGTTTGCCCTACCATTTTTTGCTCTCATTAGGTACCTTGGTCATAAATCTGAGTTTTATGTCACTCAATGTAAATGCAAATGTTACAGCACATAGAAGACTTGTGGTGTTCCCACTGACGTGAAGGAAGAATGATACAGAAAAATTAGGTGTTTGACTCTTGTCGCTGTTATTTTCAGCCACAATACTTTCTGAGTATAGTAATTATGTCGGTGTTGACTTTAAAGTGTATGGTCTTGGGTTTAGAAGATTGGTTAGGCATGTTGTAAAAATGTACTTCAACAGGGATGAAATAAGTATTTTTTTAATGTTATAGAATTCCTTCACTCTAGGAATAAGGAATGAGTGGATGAAAACTTCTAACAGATTTAGGCTTACTTTATAATGCATTTTGAAATAGAGTAAGTGATCAAACACTTGATTGATAATTGGATAGAATGACCTTTAAAGATCATTCAAATTTATATTAGCTGCTTCTTCTTCTTCTCCTTCTTTTTAATCTTAGGTTCTTAGAACACTTTTTGTTTTTTAAAAAAAAGACCCAAAACTAATAGAAACAATGGTAACCTTAAAACCAAATCTTGGAATGAGTTAAATTCATTTACTCATTTTTTCTTTCTTCATTTTGACAATATTCAACATATTCATAATTGTAATTAGACCAAAATGTTGCCCTTTCATCATAAACAAGTTACCCTGAAAATGTCATGTTAAATTAAAAACAAAAATCATGGTGTTAGCATTGGTATTAATGAGGCAAGTGCAATTGGATGCAGTTAAAAAAAAAAAAAAGTTCAGCAGAGGAAATGTAGCTTGGATTGAATTTACTTGCAAGTGGATAACAGTTTAATGAGTTGGGTTGTTTCAGCCTCATCCCTTGGGGGCACTTCAACACATCACAAAACCACTGTAGTTTTGGCTCAAGTGTCAACATCTACTTATAAAATGTCTTGGACCATAAAGCCAAGTACTTCAAAACAAGGATCTGGTCGTGTCTTGCTTTCTGTTTCTTGGCATCAGATCTAGGCTCCAGAAACTTTACTCACATTCATTAGACTGCCTTTATAAAACAAAGAGATTAGATGATCATCTATCAAGTGTTGGCCTATTTCTGCTTTTTGCTCACACAAGATGAAGTTTCTTCTCTAGCCAAAAGAGCTCTGTAGCTCCTTACATTTCTACAGGTCCAAAGGCTAGTTTTGTTTCAAGAGAGAGTCTCCAATTTGGAGGATAAGTAGCTTTTATTTTTCCTGTGTTGGCAGTGAATTAAAGAGGTAAAAAAAGATTACAAGTTTTAGTCTTTAGAATGCCCAGTTTTCACAGTTTATAAAAATTCCCTCTTAATTATTGGAATTGTTCTTTTAATTATTCTCTAAAACCAGGTAATCATTAAAACCTGGATTAACACATTCAAGATCACATAATCCATTAACATAATGTTTCACATTTTAAAAATCTGAAACTATAGACCTGTATGAAATTAAATTTATTTGCACATGAATAATGTACATGTTTACACATAAATCACTGGATATATTTGTATCATGAACATGATCTGTTAAACATTTATGTCTCCAGCCTAGATTTCTCTGAACTGTAGACCTATGTTTCCAGGTATTCATCTCCGTTTGAAGCCCTTCGTGATGTCTCAAACTCAGCATGCCTGAAAGCATACTCTTGGCTTTCCTGTCAATCCTATATTTCATTTGACTATTTCTTGCTTAGGATACCAGTAACGTGACAGTCATTGGACCCTCCCTTTCCCCTCTGCCCTATCAGTCACAGTGTGAAGGACTCAGTGTTGGGTTTCCTTCAGCTACTCTAATCTATAATCTCTTGGTTTGAGACTTCCCCAATTTCATTTTCCTTATGGTTGCCAAAGTAACCTTTTACTAGCATAAATCTGGATATGCCATACCCCTTATGCTGCTTATGTTTATGGTACTTAAAATGCTGATGTTGGGAGTAGGGTTGTTCCTCAGTGATAGCTCACTTGCCTTATATGTGTGAGGCAGTGGGTTCAATCCTCAGCACCACGTAAAAATAAATAAATAAAATAAAGTCATTGTGTCCATCTACAACTAAAAAAAATATTTTTAAAAAATGCTGATATTTTTGTCCATTGGCATTGCAATAACAGAGTAACCATAACTGGGTAACTTATAAAGAACACAGATTTCTTTTTCACTGCCCCAGAGGCTGGAAAGTCCAAGAGTAAGGTACTGGCAGGTTAGGACCCAGTCTCTCTGCTTCCAAGATGGCACCTTGAACATTGTGTCCTCTGGAAGGGAAAATGCCATGTCCTCACAATAGAAGAGCTAAATAAATAAATAAATAAAAGGACCCATTCCCACAAACCCTTTTCATAGTGCCATTAAATCCATTCATGACAACAGAGTCCTCATGGCCTGAATACCTCCTTTTAGGTACCACCTTTCAGTACTGTTGCCTTGGGGATTAGGTCCAACACAGGCACTTTGGGGGACATACTCAGATCATAACAGCCACTAAGGCCTCCAGGGCCCTGCAGGACTGACCTTTGCCTGTCATTGACCATCACATCACCATATAATCAGTGTGCTGTAACCACACTGGCAACCACTCATTCCTTGATTGTGCCATGCTGGACAACCAGGCACCTACTTAACTCATCCTTTGAATCTCAGCTCTGATTTCAATCTGTAGATACTTGTGAGCAATTTGTTTGAGAGTCACAGGTAGCCATGCTGTAGTTTTGAAGAACAAATATCTGTGGATGTGTGTTGTGTTAGTCATTTTCCCATCATTAAAACAAAGTACACGAGAAACTTAACCTATAAAGGAAAAAGGTTTGTTTGGGCTCATGATGTTAGGTTCCCATCCACGATCAGTCAGACCTATTGCTTTTAATCCTCTGGTGGGGATGCATATGGCTGAACAAAGTGCTTAACCTCATGGTCAGGAAGCAAAAGAGAAAGAAGAAGGACTTGTTTGCAATGACCTAAGGATCTCTCATGAGGCCCCACCTCCTACAGGTTCTACCATCTCCTCTAGTGCCATCCTGAGGACCAAAACCTGTGACACATGTGCTTTTGAGAGACATTTAACATTCAAACTATATAATGTGCATTTGTCTTTCACAAATGCTGAATCAGAGTAGGCACATAATGTATCAACCCCTTTATAAATGACTGTTTTGTGTTGGATTTAACTGTGACATATATGATATGGCCAAACTAAGCAAAACACAAAATGGACTGAGCTATTATAATCTTTTGGGTAAAGGTCATTAAAATTACTGAGGAAGAAGCTGGTGTACTTTGGCAGTAGGGTCTAGAATATAAAAATTATAATCTGCCTTAAAGAGAATGGAAGAGAAGAATGCGACTTTAGCAGAATAATTTATTCCCATTTCCTTGTTGACAGGCCTTCATTACAATAAACACTTTTATCCTCCACCTTAAAATCCTATTTCCTATTATGTCAAAGTTCTTCTTCTTACTAATACAGAATATTTTTACTAATTGTAGTGATTTAAATTTATTTTTTAAAATTACTTAATGAAACTTTGTTGTGCTTTCAGGTAACCACCTGAAATACTGGACAACCTCAGTATTTTCCTGCTGTCTCCTAGTCAGCCGTGCTTCATGAAATGGAATGAAGCTGAAAAATCACCTGCTTTTTTGTGAATCTGAAGGAAGATTGGGATGATCTCAAGTAACTAGACTCTAACTGCAGCGATGAGTTCAGACGAGAAGGGTGTGTCGCCTGCTCATAAAACATCCACTCCAACCCATAGAAGTGCCTCCTCTTCAACATCCTCCCAGAGGGACAGTAGGCAGGTAAGAGAAGACTAGAAAGTGCATTTTGTTGTTTTATACAAGTATACTATCCTTAGGATTGGATGGGATTGCTGATTAATTCCAAATTTTTTGTGAAGTCTTTCATTCCACAAGAAACTCATTGTTTTCTATGAATACGTCTGATGATGTCATGAAGCTCCTCCTCTTACTTTTTGTCATTTAAGACCGTTTTTTTAGAATGCAGACTACAGAGCCCCTAGGAGGCCCTCTGTTGTCTTCTTGTTGTCTATACCTTCACAGAGATCTTGATATTTGCTCTCTTTCTTCATTCTTGAAGGTGGAAGAGGCTCTATGAACCCACAGAGGACCTCTTTCTCTAAAGCTCTCACTGTCTGCCAAGTTCTAACCTCTGTTTGGTATTCTGTGGAATCTGGGAGATTCAGGAATTTGGTTACAAGTGAAATTGTAATATCAGTCAATGAGAATGCAACAGTTTTTAAAGACAACAGAGAAAGTAAACTGTCCTTGCTTGATTATGGTAGAAGACATCCTTTGTCCCATTTGAGGCAATTACTTAAGTTATTTTTATTTACAGAGTCATTTCATTACTATTTTCATGACTTTTCTGCTGCCAGGGTTTTATGGGGATTGATCATATGAATTCTGTTCATTGTCACAACAGTGTTGTTTTAGCTGGCACAGATCCGAGAATAAATATTTTCCATTATTGTCTTGTGAGAGTATTTTAGTTGTGTAACTAGAAATTCAAGTTAACATTTTATGAAAACTTTCCATCAGGACAACTTTCAGTTAGTGAATATTCTTGCAGAATCTCTAATCCCCACCCCAATTTATATGTTCAATGCATATTTTCTAGAAGTGTCTGTATCAGTTACTAATAGTCCGTTGTATGGGTGGATTTTGTATAACCAGTTCAGATGTGAATTCATTCCTCTAGATAGTGGGAATGCATGTGGGGGTGTTATTAAAGTAGCTGTCAGTCTCAAACCCTCCCAGCACTCCTCCTTCCATGTCTAGCAAGAAGTTCCAGGAGAAACTGTAAGCATTGGAGATTCTTTATATCTTTCAGAAGTGCTAAGGCAGCTATTTCTACTACAGAGTCTTGGGGCATTTATGACAGTGGTGTCTTTTGTTGCTGAGCTCAGAGGACACCTGTATTCTGTTACTTAGAAGCAATTGTACCATTAACTGAATCTGTGATTACACATAGTTATATTAGTTATCACACTGCATTTGTAGAGCCAAAGAATTGAAAACGCTTGTATATTAAATAGCCACTGCATATTAAGATGTTTTCTAGGTTTGCAAATGCAGTCTACCCTTCACCCTGTTCTTTTTGTTATGCCTTCTCCATTTTTCCCTTGTCCTTGTCATATACACTAAGAGGCTTTTTAAGCAGCATGATCTTCCTGGCTGCTACAGGAAGAAAATAATTGATGCAGCTCACCCTGGAGACCTTGTAAATGGAAAAGACTGATGGCTGCTGTTGTTGATCTGCCTGTTGCACCTGCTCCAGGGTCACCATACAAAACAGGAGGAAGAACCAAGACTTTGGTCTGCCAAAGGGAGCACAAACATGGAATGTGTGACTCCTGAGTGCTTGTGAGTGGAAGGTTTGAGGATGGGATGGGAAAGAAAGTAGCCCCTAATTTATTATCCTCACTTTAGACAAGAGACAGTGTGCAAATAGTTGTTTGTTGTTGTTTTTTTTTTTTTAAGGAGAAAATTTACTTTCTTTCCTGTTTATCTCAGCAGTTGGAAACTCTCTCAAATACTTTCTCTTCTGGTTCCTTCCTGACTCCTGTTTTGTATCTGCCCATTTTCCCCAAGGAGAAGAATAATAAGAATAATTACAGTTCTGTGTTTCTTTCCCTGCCTCAATCACTACCTAAAACTCAGAATGAACTTACTGAGCTCCAAGTGATCCTGTGATGTGCTGTGGATCAATGCCGTATCTTTCTCCTTTGCTTCTCCCACTGATCATTTCTTCCTCTATAATATCACCATTTCCTTCTGTTCCCACTGTCAGCTCCTGAGCCCAGACTCATCACGCCTTCCCAGGGTCTGCGAGCATTCTTGCCTCACCATCCCCCTCTTGATCTTATCATTTCACATTTCATGAATATGGCAGGTTCATGTTCAAATATATAATTATTTATACAGTTACCTATACAAGTATCCCATGACCACCGTGATCTGGTCCAGTCTTATATCCCATTTTCCCCCTAACCAGCACAATTTTGTCTCCTCATGGTTCTTGAGCCTGTTCCATCTCCATCTCTGCCATGTCCTTCCTTCATGGAATTCCCACTGCCCTTCTGGCTGCTTGATGCCTCCCTCTGCATCAAGGACCAGCTCATGTGATACTTCCACTTGCCACTCAAACTCACATTACCTTCTCCCTTTTCTGAACTTCCATAGAACCTTTTCACGACATTTGACATTTTTGTATTGTTTACACATCTTTTTATGTATTGATCTCCTCAATTGTTGGGAGCTCTTTTTTATAGCTTATGTACTCTTATTCTTCAGAGACAAGCTTTTTTTGCACCTCAATCTGTGTGTGTGTGTGTGTGTGTGTGTGTGTGTGTGTCTGTGTGTGTGTGTCTGTGTGTGGGGGTGGTGGTGCTGGGAACTGAATCCAGAGCTTTGTATGTGCTAGGCATGTGCTCTACCACTGAGCTGTATCCCCAGCCCTGCACCTCAAATGTTTTAATATACTCTGGAGGATATTTTTAAAGACCTGCAACAATGTTAGCCTTGTCTTTTTATTGCAAAATTTCCATTCCAGATTTATTTGTCCTCTCTTCTTCCTTCCTCATGGATAAATAAAACAAAGAACACTTGTGCACAGTAGTGGTTGGCTATCCTTCCTGCCACTAAGAGGAAAAAGGGAGAGAAGTTGGGTCATGAAGTGACTCAGTGCTCCTGTGATTTCACTAAATGTTTCTTCACCAGTGATAGGGTCAAGACTCCACTTAGCATTTAACAAGCTAGAAGATGTCAGTAATTGTTCCACTATGGTTTACTCAAGTCTAAACATAGATGTTAGGACATCTAACAAAATTGTGTGTGTGATCAAATGACTTACAAGCCACAATAAATATATACACCATGAAATCTTCAAAGAGGTTATGAAGGAGCTGATTAGACCTCTAGTACTTACCCTTAAGCCAGCATTCCCCAAAGTCATTACCAAGTCACATCCCTTCTGAGGTATGAAGAGTTCTCCTGTCAAGTAGATTGAAAAACACTAAACAAAATCTCTTTTGTAATGTGCATTAAAAAATTAAGAACAATGATAAGTGCTGAAGTAAGACCTTTCTTTAATTGAACTCTTCTAGAATTTAGTAGATTATAAAACCTTTTTTTCCTCTAAGATTTGGTTGTTAAAAATCCAGATTTTTCTTGCTACTAAAAACTAAAATAAATAGCAGAAAGATCAGTAGAGTGAACAGAAGGACATGGGTAGGGGGGAGGAGAGGGCAAGAGGAAGTACTGGGGACTGAATTAGAGCAAATTACATTTTATACTTTTATAATTATGTCAAAATGAATCCTAATGTTTATATAACTAAAAATAATCAATAAAAAAATTTGGAAGACCTAAGGGCCTGCAGCCCATATCCTTAATGGCCAGTACAAGACTGGGCTGCATCAGTAGTGGCTTCTGGTTTAGAGAGGGCATTTACTTTCTGATAGGCCACAGTCCTCACCTGTCCTTATTGATTTCAGTGCTTATTTATGTTGACTACCTGGGTCCATAAAACATTTGGACTTGTGAACCCCGATCCTGGATGTCAGTAGATCCATCATGGTAATATTTAACTTATCCAGGGAAATCTCCACTTGGGTGTTAAGAAGACATCTCACACTTAATGTCTAAGATTGAACTCTTAGTTTTCCTCTCCTGTCTGCTCCTTTCCAGTTTTCACTCTCAATAAATAACAGCTCTGTTCTTTCAGTTGGTGTGCCCCCAAGCCCAGGAATCATCCTTTGTTTATGTATTTCACAATCTGCTTCCAAACCACCAGCAAATCCTATAGATTTTATCTTCAGGATATACCCAGATTCTTACTGCTCCATACCACCACCTCCCCTACCACCCTGCTCTGAGCCACCATCATTTTTCACCTGTACTATTGCTGTAGTTTTCTACCTGGTCTCCCTGCTTCTACCCTTGCCCAATCTACAGATCATTTTTTATGGAGCAGAATATTCCCTTCAAAATGTTAAGTCAGATCAAACTACTTCTCTGTACAAAGCCTCCAGTGACTTCCCATCTGTCTCCAAATAATAACTGAATTGTTGACTGTTGTCATTTATAACCTGGTTCTGCCTAACTCTGATTCCCATCTCCTCCCATGTTCCCCTTCAGATGGCTCTCTCCAATATGCTCCTCAGATATGCCAAACATGTTCCCACCTCAGGGCCTTTGCATTTTTTGCTCCCCTTATCCTAGCTAGGTTTTCCTCCAGCCATCCCTGGCTTGCCCATACACTTAAGCAAGTTTTCAAATGTACTCTCTTTGGGTAGCCTGCCCTGCTATCCCTAAATGTCGTCATCACTCACTATCTACTTTGCTGAGTTCATTTTACTCAAAGCACTAATCACCACTGGTATGGTATATCTCTGGTTATATATTTCTTTCTCTGTTTATGTCTGTATCCACTTCCTCTATTCCCTGTCTTGAGAATGTAAGTAAGTTCCACGAAAACAAGGTTTTCTTTATTCAATAACGTATCCCTAGCCCCTTGTACTCATGCTGTGTGTATGGTGAGCATGCATATGGTCAGCTCAATATAAATTTGAATAAGTGAATGAAGAGTTGGCATGGAGGGGAGATTATAAACCAGGCTCCAGATGCCTGGATAGCTGTGGAGGAATTATCGTGCAATCAAGAGATGACAGCAAGAAGGGAAAGTGGTAGAGCAGAGAATTCAAGTCTCACAGTGCTGGATTGGGGGAGTAGAAGGCTTATCCCCAGGTCACAGAAGGGAGCTGATAGCTCAGACCCTT